TCCTGCTCTCTCACATGTGTGTGCATTCTCCTCCTCCTAGGCAAAGTAGCTAAGCTTCTACTAATAATGTTTATGGTTTTTAATAAAAACATGAGTAAATTTAACATCAGAAACTGTAACCTTAGAGACAAGGATTTAGGATCCCCCCATCAGCCCTGGTTTCTGTTCATCAAGAACAATGAAGTACTCGGCCAGCACGAAATACTCAGTCAGACATTAAAAAACAAAACCCCAAAACATACATGACTTTTTTGCACCTCCCCCTCTCCTGATAGGCTTGTGTAAGCCAAAAAAATTTTATATGGAAGTTTGTACTTCCTTAAAAACAAAACAAAAACAAACAAAAAAACCCCAAAACAAATCCCCCCCCCAACCCTCAACCCCAAACCATGCAGAAGAAATAAACCCAGATTTTTTTGTCCAAGAAAGGTCAATTTTTCCATAAAAATATATGAGTTCTCCACCATGGATAAGAACACCATAACATATGCACCAACCAGACCTAATGTTAAGATGTGGCCACCGCTGCACCAAGACTAATCCCCTCTCCTCATTACCAGTCCTCCTCAATCCAAACCGCAACACAGAATCCTGTCCTGCCTACAAGTGAGCGAGCCTACCAGATGCCCCATCCCTTTAAATCTTCAAGCAAACTTTCTATGGTTACTGTTATTATGCCCTGTCTGAAATATTTTGAGATTATATGCAATAGTAATAGTAGTGTAATATTAAACTAGCTTCCATTCTACTAACAGAGGTTTTCATTAAGCTCCTGTATCAGTCAAAGCTATCAAAGAAAACACCTCCTGAACTGTATTGTGTTTCAGAAATTTTAGTGTAACAAAGCTGTAAAAGAATATTTTACTTCAGAATTTAAATGAAGTACAAAAGACTAGAACTTCAGAAATTATGATCCTATACACATATAAGAAGTCTAGAATTAAGGAGCTGAACAGTTAAGTAAGAACCCTCAAAAGATCTACAGCTTTGCCTGCCTCATACCCTCACTCCACACAGTTCAGCCACACATGTAATGGAAATACAGTTTGTACTACAGTTCCTTGAATGTGACATTTGTCTCAAAGGAAAAATAAAACCCCAAAACCCAAACCCCAGACTAATAAAAAAGGCAGTGGGCTAAGTCTGGCTGACAGAGAAAGAAACACTAATAGCCATTTGCCATTCATACATAACAGCAACACGCCAATGACTTTTCCCACTTCCCTCAATTCTGTCCCCAATAGTGCATTTTGCTGCACTAATCACAAGATAGTGGTTTTGTTTTCCCCACACTGCTGTGTCCTGCTTGCTTCTTCTCTGCCTCTTTCAAAGGGTTTGTTAAATTAACTGCAGTGTTTTCCTTTAGCAAGCTATGGAAAGAGGCAGCACGTAGTCCGGTGAGGATGAGGAGAGACAAACTGACACCAAAACCTCCCAAACATCCATTTCCTGACCCAAACAGAGAAGAAATATTTGCTCTCTCTCTATTCTTATGGGAGAATGTTTAAGAGATATGGTCAGAAATACGATGGAGGGGGTGCATGTCATTGCTCCATATTGGTGGAAAAGCAAGGAACCTAGCTCACAAATAGAGGACAAAGGATTTGAGAAGCCTCTCTTCCTCTGCCTCCTGCTGAAAAATGCTGAAGGCAGTGCATGTGGTAGCAATATTTACAACTGAAGAACCCCAGGTCTTCAGTATCTTCCATTACAAAATTTATTTGATAATAGAAAAACCACACTGGCTTTAGGGAAAAAAAAAAAAATTGCCCTAGATGTCTTCTAGAGTATTAATCTCCATCAAAATGGTAGGAAAAAGCAGCCAGCCATCTCCAGGAAAGAATTTGGCAGAAGTAATGTTATTTTTACAGTATTAAACCACTACTAAGAGTCTTTACTAGTGAAGAGAATGCCTGAATCAAGAAGCTCTAAAAAAACCAACAACAACAACAAAAAAACCAAAAAACAAAACAAAAAACACAAAAAAAACCCCAAAAAACCCACCAAAAAACCCCCCAAAAAAACCCCAAACCTAAAAAACTAATCAGAACTAGATCTTTCGCTCTTTTTATTTTCTTTGGTGTGGGGAGGGAAGAGGAAGAGAAGAGCTGTGTTTAAGCATTTTCAGTGTTCAAACTATTATCCCCAGTTTCCTGGTTGCATCATGGTGCTGCTCTGTACCTTTAGTCAGTGCTACTTTTAGATTTTTCACCCAGGATTATGTGGGGCAGCGGAGACATGCTTGGATACGTTGCTCATGTTAGACCTGCCACTTCTGCCTGCTCCTTATTGCACGCGCCAGCAAAGAAATTTCAGAGGCAACACCTTCTTGCATCACTAAAAAGTTTACTGACTAAAAGCAATACTCCACCCTCAAAGACACAGACCACAATGGCTGGTGAGAAACCCGAAGACAATCCTAAAAGGGCATCTCTGAACAAGATGGGTACCCTTTCTGCCAGAGGTATTATCTTCATGAATCCAGACCCAGACTACTATAGGGTTTAGCCTGCTTCCAAATTTGGCTCACCCAGACAGATGTGGAATGCTGATGTTGTCTACCAGCTCTAGAATCAATACAGAGAGACACACATGCACTTCTGAGTTTTTAAAAAGGTCATCTTGTATGATTAAGAGAAATATTTAGTCCACAGATGGAACATTACAATCCAAACACACAAGCTGGAGCTGGAGGGAGGCCGAGGAGGGAGAGAATGGACAGCTATGTGCAATACGGTCATTTCTGTAGATGGATATGCTGCACACAGGCAGCACTCAAGTGTTAACTAAATACCAGCTCAGCCAAACAATGGAAGGCTTTCAATCCAAGAGTAGCACCACTAATGTAAATAAATCTGTTTCTACTGGCAGCTAGTGGGGTGAGGGAAGAAGTAGTCTCACTGCACTCAGAATTTGCAGCCTATACCTGAAACAAGCATTTCCCTCACCAACTCTCTCCCCTTTTCTAAACAAAGAAGTTGTTTCAACCTTTTTTGAAAAGTCGACTGCCTGAGTGGTAACATAAGCTTAACCCAGGCTATTCAAAAGTTAGCTCAGTAACAGACAGTGGCCATTAAAATTGAGAGAAGATCAGTGTCTTGGTAAAAACAAAATAAAAGCAGAATGCATGACAGCATTAAATTGAACCATTAAATAAAAACACCGATTAGCTTCTCTCGATAAACTACAAATCTGACAATGAACTGCAGTACAGACACTGTGCTTGGCAAGTGAGTGTCATTTAAGAGGGAGAAGGAAGGAAGGAAGGGAGAAGGCGTTGATATCATAAACAGCAGTGTGTGACACTAACTTAATGAAAGAATGACCTTAAAAGGAAAAAATGAATTGAATGCTCGTAACTAATACACACCATCACATACAACTATGTTTGTCAGCATTTCTGTAACCACAAA